TCGACAAAGTCAATGCATGTACGACGATACTGAGGATACTGAGGATACTATAAAACACATTTTTCATAGTCTCTGAATGTAACTGATGATCAATGTTTGATACGAATGAATATAAGGGAAATAATTTAAAAACTTTTCAAGTTCTTGTTTCAAACCGATAAATCTCTGAATAACGAAATTAAAATTTTGCCCACACAATAGACTTTAAATAATCGTTAATTTTGCTTTGATTGTAAACATATGACAAGTGTGCACTGATTCTCGATTATGACGAGAGTTAGTCAAACATTTCAAAAACATTAAAGTAATTTCAATGTCATGTTTATGTTTTCATTATATCATATATATATATATATATATATATATATATAGTTAGGAAATTAAATATTTATAACCATCAACTATCATGTGTGCACATTTTCAATTCTCATTTTTATTAAAAAGACAATTCATTTCACACATATATTTATATATATATGTATATATGTGCATTTAATAAGCGTACAAAATTGCTTCGTTTATTACCTAATGGTAAACGTAACGTTTACAAGCTAAGAGTGAATTTTTGCCGTTAGCTAAGTTGTTTGATGATTGCGTTCATCATCTCTTTATTAATGCAGTTTTTGTTTGAGCTTCATTCAGAATACGTAACGGAAGTCTAGGGATACGTGGTAAATGTGTGCATACGAGATAACTGTTTCTATTTATTATTTTATTTTCTTTTAGTTTTATAGCAAATTGTAATTTGTGCAAATTAAGTTAAGATTACAAAAAAAAAAACAAAAGCAACTACAACATCGTTAAATAATATTAATAAACTAACTAACAGAGCTCTGCAACACAGCTTTACAGTGCATAACATCATCACACGTATACAAACTTAAATCTCTACTCTCTATATATATGTATATGTTTGTATATATGTAAATATGTGTATTGCTTGCATTCATAAAATCAACGAACCGTATCAATCAACAATTAATGTAGAGTGAAATAGTCTTTTATAACCATTACCGGCGGAATGCTACATTTTGCGAAACGTTTGTAACGCCCAGAAAAATACACGGATCAAGAGGAAGGATCCACATGTTTGCGTATATACACATGCACATGTATATAAAGACAAAGTCACCTAATGCCAAAGAAAGCCAAGTAAAAGGTTAGGGCTTAAAAAAGGTTTTACGTTTATATATATATATATATATATATGTAAGCATGTGGGTGGGTCCTTCCCAAAATTTGATAAAGTTCAATCTTTTTGGACAATATTTTAGTGATTTCTAATTTCAAGAAATAAACGGACAATCATATGTAGTCAAGAATATATATACATATCACACCTGAGCAAGCAACCAACTAGATATGCATATATAGGAAAATCAATGACAAGGTTCATAGCCTTTTTCCTTGTTAATTTAGGACTCAAATGAAGGATAAGCAGGCAGACAGCCACAGTATATACAGATAATGTCATATCTATATACATATATATATATATAAATATATAGATAGTCAGATCTGATCAAGTATATATAGATAATGTCCTATGTATATACAAACAGACAATCATATCTGATCGGATATATATATATATATATATATATACATATAGACAGTTACATCTGATCAAGTACATACATATATGCATATACAGGCAGTCACATCTGATCAAGTATATATAGATAATGTTATGCAAACATAAGCAACTTTTAAGTATTTTATATGTATATATATGTGTGTGTATACGATATATGGATATTTTTGGCCAAATTTCTAATACTAGTCAACTTGTGGCAAGTCGGACTAATTTGTCGAATCGCTTCAAATCTTTATTAACCATGCAAAATATCATTTCTAGTCTGTGGAATTACCTGCAAGTGCTGCCAAATTATATTGAAATATATTTTTAAAGATACATACGATAAACGATTCAATATATGCTTGATATATCGAGTGAATGGAGTTTCGCATAATATTGCAATCAAATTTTGTATAGATGCTACTAGTGCTCTTCGTACCGAGAAATTCGCCCTAAAACGGATAAAAGTTTTTCTTGCTTTTCTTTTTTTTTTTTTTTGTTCATTGTGCGATCGTGATAAATAATAGTAGAAATAAATGTAACCGCAAGAGAATGTATGAGCGCAATGGAGAGGAGGGATACATAGATGAAAGATGAAAAAACACTGTTTTTTTTTCTTTTTTTTTAAATTGCGATAAATTAAATCTTTCCTTTCAATGAGCGTCACATAAATAACATTTCCTAACTATTCACACTGTACGAGTAGATGAATGAAGTGTAAATGTTTGCAAACACTTTGAAGGGAAGATAACATCTACGATGTACTTAAAAAGGCCCTCGAGCCTTTGCGCGTTACATGTTTTAGAAATGAATTTCCTTTTAACGATTTCGATCGTTTGCAACTTACATTAACTACTTAACCGCACTTAGCTTGAAAATATGTTAATGTAGAACTTTTGATGCTACCCCTGTACACAGAATATGCATAAAAAGAAAATAGACCAGTCGAAGTTGAAGAATTTAAGCATTCGAAGTAAGTTAGCCGAAGCTACTTTCACAAAATCCGGCAAAGATTACCTTTTAATTGAATTATTTTTTTAATTTTAAGTCTTTTGGCTATACGGACAGATAAACGAATATGACTACTTTATAATGGTCAAGATATATGTTAGTGTGTATGTATTCCATTTTATATGTTCACTAATTGCCGGCAATGGAAAAGTTTATACACACATCCTTCCGGTGGGAAGTTCCGCTTCTTTATAGACAAAGTATTTCAGTAAACGAATCGGATCATTATTCGGTATAGACTTTATATCGCAATTGATAACAATTCTTAAAAATAACCGTTTTTGACTCGATATAGGCGGACAACTTGATCTGCAAGAATCTGCATGAAAGTATCTGCAAATTTGCCTCTCGCTTTTTACGATGAAGAATGCTTTAATACCGTACGGACGGTCTAGGATCACTTAATTAAATTCCAAATTTTCCACTAGTCGTGAATATATACACTTTACGTGGCCAGATATCAAGTCATTATTATTAGCACTTATCAGCTTTGCTTCTAAATTTTGCCTATCCTGGAAGTCTAGACGATTAAGGGGAAAATCTAAATAAACTCTGAACAAAAAATACCTACTAAATGAGTTCGCCTGCAGTTATCAGTCAAGTCAAATAAACCTTGTTTTCAAACGTCTGTCTATGCCAATAATTATGTGAAGAAAAAAGCAGTGGAACTCTAAAATACCTTACGGTTTGATTGCTTCATGTTTAAAGCTCTAGTTTTTTTACTACTACACAATATCTAGGAAACTTTTTTAAGAATTCGAGAGAGTGCACATATTTCACAGTAACAACTACGTGCCGTTAGGTTTTTTTTTATAAAACTTAAGCTTTAGAAAAGAAAAAAATTCAAAAGTATTGAGGTAAAATAAACGGTCGAAACCTAGTAGCTGCGAATCCATTCAGGTTCATTTTCGACATGAAGCTAAACTTTTTTCAATAATTTTGAGTTAAAGTGAATGTCCAGAAGAAAACAACTGCAAACCTAGTTAAATCTTTTAGATCCATTTTTCATGCAAAGCTAAGCTTTGGAGATCTTTTAGGTAAAAAATATTCAGTGGAATAAGTGCATAATATATATATATAATCATCGTCAACCTTTTCAAAGGTGAAATTGTTTCGTGTATTCTTAGTTTATTTTTAGATCAGTTCCTTCACTGCCCTCACATTCCCTTACGCTTGGAATATGTTGAACTTAATTTACATTAAAGCAAGTCTTAAACCAATTAAACTTACGAAGGTTTTTTGCTAATTGCGGGTATGTCAGTTGGGCAATTGGAACTATTTCACACCGATTTTCTGAAAACTTTTACGATATCTTTGTTGTATCTTATGAGTACCAAGCGAAAAAAAATACCGAAGGCAAAGTTATTTGCCGTTTTTTGTAGCATAGGCTTGTGGGCATTGTAGGTGTGTTCTTTGACCGCTTTGCGTCATTTTCAAATTCTTTTGCAAATTTGTAGGCGATATCTTCATTTTTGTGAGCGAAAGAATACCACGATTACTAGATAGTTACGAGACGGGCAGATGGACATGCTTAAGCGCATTCCAAATATGAAATTGGTCAAGAATTTATATACTTTATGGGGTTTTTAAAGCTTTCTTCCGCGGTGTTGAAAAAAGCAAAATTTTCAAATCAAAGTTTTCCATTTTCCTGCAAACGCTACAGCATCGCCTATATAATTTACATTTAAATTTTTATGGATTTATCTGCTATAGTTTATGAGTAATAAGCAAACAACCAATTTTTTCCCCGTTTTGCAACACAGAGGTGTTTACGTGATGCTATGGGCGTACCCTTCGACCAAATTGGCCCATTTTCAATGGCAATCTGCGTGCAAGACCTTCCACTGCTGAAGTCGATGGCTTCATTTTTACGGCCAGGAGAATATTTGCACAGATGGACGGGCGGACATGTTTAGATCATGCCGATTCATGCTGATCAAGAATATATATATATATATATATATATATATATAGCATTGTGGGGACTCTAATGCTTCTTTCTGGGCTTTGCAAACATTTTGACACAATGAATATATCCCTTATCTTTCGATGGGGACGATGAGTATAATAATTGAGGCCCAAAAGACATATGCTCACGATTCGTCTTCAGCTTACTTTTTCAATGTCGACCTCATCTTTTATTTTTATTTATTAAAATTATTTTTTGGAAGCTCCTTATGATCGACGAAAACTGGAAATTTTGTTTATGTAAAAAAAAAAGAAAAAAAAAAAAGTAAATAAAAAGAAAACTAGTTATGCATACATTTTTCTTATTTTAAATTTAATAATAAATAAATAAATAAATAAAAAAAAAAAAACAATATTCAAAAATATTAAAGCAAACGTTTCGTTTTGTCGATTATTTCTAATACATTTTTAAATCAAGTATTAACGTTTGATTATTTTTTACCTTCTCATTACGCGTTAAAAATTCCCAGATAGGTATGGATGAGCTATCAGTCGGTGTTGGCGTAATGATGGCAATGTTCACTAGAAGACATGCTGCCAAAACTTTCCCTACATTCAAGTGCACAACATACATAGTGAACGTTATGTTGTAAGTTAAAAAACAGTAGCCGCTAAACCGCTAAAACCGCAGGGCGTTTCTTGCTTTCTGAAACTTTTTTAAAAATTTTTTGTTTCAATTTTTTTTTTTTTTTTTTGGCAGCAAAAAGCAAATTTTATAATTCAACGCTGTGAAAAGCAAACGTATGTTTTTTGTTTTTTTCTTTCTTTCTGCCTTTGTATTTTAAAAATTTTCTACAACTTTCTTTTCTTAGTTTTAGCTTTTATTATTTTGATTATTTTATTTTTTCTTATAATTGTTAGTATTCCTTTTTATGAATCTTTGGCATTTAAAATAAAAATTTTTTATTGGTTTAAGGTTTTTTTTGTTTAGCAGGTTGTTTTTTGTTTTTAAACACTCTTAATGACTGTTTCCGTTTTCATTTAAGAGTTTTTTTTTGCTTTAAGCTCTTAATCGAAAACAACTTTCTTTGTTCATTTGCTTACGGTATACGTAAGTGTTAATCTAAGTGTTTATGTCTTACAATTGCTACACGTTTCTTCAATTAGCGATTTTAGTCACGCACGCTTTTTAGTATATTTATATGCATAGATATATATATATAAATATATGTATATATACATAGGTAAATATATTTCATATTAATAAATTATATTACGTTTGATTTTTTTACATTGAATCAATGAATTGCGAAAATATTTCTGGTGTTTTGAAACCGCTAAATAGTTGAAATTCTTTACGTGTTTTCACCGCAATCTGATATCTTGTTCAAGTGTTAATTTTAGTGTGAGATGGCTCGTATTGTAGGCTTTCAAATTTATACTACTCTCGTAAATTCCACAAATAATAAAGCGTACATAAGGATTTCTTTTTTTTTTACTCTCCCAGAAAAGAAAACTGCTTATTTCTTGCATATATACACACACACGGGCGCTTTCATTATAAGCTGAGCTTAATTGAAGATTCTCCCAATAGCAGTAGTAGTAGTTGCTTTTAAATTTTATATTATTTTCATACTATTTTTTTTTTTCTTTGAATAACTCTCGCTCTTTCGTTTACAAAGTCAGAGATGTTAGTTATATTTAATAGACTAGGTAAGAGAAAGAGAGTAAGTATTTTATGCATGCACACTCAAAACTAGTCGCTTTTATTGTTGTTTACTATTATTAGTCTTTTTTTTTTTTTTTGTTTTGTTTTGCACAAAAATAGAAATTGCACGAGAACAACAACAATAAGAAAACATCTCATTTGCAGTTCAAAGTCAAGTTTTCTTTTTCTCTGTTATTGTTTACTTTTTTCAAAAAAAAAAAAAAACTTATGGTTATACGTATAAACACTTAAGCGGTTATATGACTGGCAAAAGGAGTTTTTTATTTAGTTGGGGCATAATTTGTTGAAAAGAAAACTAGAAATCATATCAAAAATCTTTTTTATCAATATGTAAAAAAGAGAAAAGCTTTTTTAATTCTTTCTCAGCAACCCGTGTAGGCCTTAGATTGCAACAAAATACCGACAACTTCGAATAACTCAAATGATTTCAGAGCCAAATCGTTGTAATTTCGTGGGAAGAATATACCGATTAAAGATATCTTGGAACTGATGATGCAGCAAAAAAAAAAAAATCTTTATTAAATACTGTTTTTTTTTTTTTTTTTTGTTACAAATACTGTAAGACTCCGGGACTCCGATTCTCACCGATATTAAAGTTAATCGCGGGTGTTGAACTGCTTAAAATAAATTTTTTATTTTCACCAAAATAAGGAAAAGTAAGACAAGCAACGCACATATAAATATTTCTCATAAATATTTCAGTCACACAAGCCAACAAAATTTTGGTGACACTTCAGAAGAATGTAAAAATACAATCTTTGTTGTTTTTATTACCATGACGATGTTGTTGCTTTTGAGGCTATTAAAAAAAAAAAAAAAAATACAATTTAACTGCACCTTTTTAGGAGAATTCATTGAAATGAAGGGGCTATTAAAAAAAAAGGGAATAAAAAACATGCACATGCATAAATATGGAGGGTGTAAAAAATAATGCTTTAATATTATTATCTTTGTGTATAAATAAATATGCAAATATGTATGAATGTGTTTATAAGATTATATAAAACTCGGAAATGTATGTCATATATGTAAGTTAAGTTCAACGACATGCCGGCCAGTCAAACAAGTTAAGTAGAATAACAGGTAATGAAAACTAAACATTGATGATATGCTCGGGGACTACATTTTATGATTCCTTTAGCATTCATGTAACCAACATAGTAACTTGTCAGTAATAAAACAAATACACCTAACCTGCGCTTTACGTAGTCATGGAAATTAAAAATATTTAGTTCAAAAACCATATGAATCGAGACATTCGATTAATGAATCTAACATAAAATGAATAAATTTAATAAAACATAGTTACGCTAAATATGGAAATTCTTGCACGCGAGGAGGGATTGAAAATACTTTGTAGAAATAAATAAATGCATAGGAAATGTGGGTGGGGATCAAAGTCTTAAGATTGTTTGGAAAGCTCACTTTTGGTTTTCATTTCTCTTCTACTTGCACGTAATCATCTCATCTTATAATTATTGTTAAGCCTTATATTATATTTTCTAATTCCCTCACTCTACATTGTATTAATTTAAGTCTATAAATTATATATATATATATATATATTATATCGCTTTATATTGTATTAGCTTAAGTGTATAAATTACGTATATAAATATTATGTATATATTATTTATTATGCCCCTTACATATGTACGTAAATTCTGTGCGAATTGCCAGAGTATAGGAACTTGCATGATTCGACCGGAAACCGGAGGAGCTATGACATTCGAAACTATATAAGTTGATTTTGAAGGTGATTATTAATTTATGGGCAACGTCGATCATGGCATCGCTTTCTCTGTTGTTAGCCGCCATGCGGAAATGGTGTAAGTTCTGAAAATCTGAAAACATCGGCGTATGTTAGCTAATGCGAGGAGCAATTTGAGGATGGGAAATCAGTGGGAGGGGACTTTGACGGTACATTGTAGGGCGAAAGGTCTAGCCAGGGGCAGGGCAAAATTTAAAGAATCAACGCATTACTACCCGAAGGTTTTAAGCCAATTTACTTAAGAATATATAATATAGATTTCCCGTAGGTGTTAACTCCTAAATGAAGGATATTGTTTCCAACAAAGACCTCAACGAAATCCACTTTTTCATAATTTGTCGATGTAGGAGATAGGGAATGTAAGCGACACTGTATTTCTAGCAAGCAGTTGAACAGCTGAATAGCCCGGCGAGCTAATTCAGTCTCAGTTGAATGTATAGAAGTACAGTGTACCAGTTGTAGAATGTATAGAAGTAAAGCGTGCGCTTTGCAGAATGTACAGAAATAAAGTGTGATAGTTTTAAAATGCATAGAGAGAATGGGTGCCAGTTGAATTCCTCAGTAGCAAGATTGGGAAAACTCCTACTGAGTTGAAATTCATTAAAATATTCTAAAGGACAAAAGTAAATTAATTTCTAAATGGAAGAATCCAGTATATGATGGGTTTTCAATCTTCTTATTTCGTTGTTCACCTAGAAGAAATAGTAGGAAAGGATTTAAGGGATTACTCAGTCTAAGAAGATATTTTGATTAAATGCGTTGAATTCGATTTTTGATCAGGGGAAGATCCGGGTCATCATAAATAAATAAATATTTATTTGTATTGACAGTCCTCTAACGTGTAAAGCCGCTATCTACAGAAACTTTAGGGCAACCTTGTGGTGCCTTTTGAAGAGGAATGGAAGCCTAAGCGGTAAGCTTGGGTGCCATAGGTGAATTAGCTAGTTCGTGGGTTGTGGTCGCGGTTCAATAACTTGCTCACGAACACTACTAGGACAGTTACCCCAAGAAATTTCTAGACTCGTGCCGTTTACCGAACACCAGGCAGACGAAACCATATCTAACCGATCGAGTACATGTCCCTGGTCCTATTCTTCACCCACTTTGCCTATTGGTCACCCTTCCGCCCATAGAAAAGTTTGTAGGGGAGCCTGAGATTTTTTTGTTAAACTATTTTTTTCATACAATTTATCAGCACTTTTTTTGCAAAAAATAACCTTCTTTTTTTCATATTGCCCACCTTGCCTGTCTTCTCGTTGCACTGAAAAACAAAAAAGTGACTTTTCTCGCGCGAGAACTTGACAGAGAGAGTTTGAGTTTCTAGTATTGTGAAAGGAAACAAAAAGGACATCATACTATAATAGTTTTGCTGCTAATGGACCACGGGCCATTAAAAACTACACTGAGGTTTTTAGATTGATATTTTTGAAATATCTTAACGTTAGAATTACTGGGTGTTCCCCACAGTGCAAATAGTTTGTAGTACACTTTTGTATAAAATGCTTTATTTCTTAGATTAAGTTAAGAGTCTGGACGTATTAATTACTAGAGTCTTCTGGTTATTAAGCTAAATTGCTAGCGTTGAGCTGTAGTATGAAGTGCGTCAATTTTCTGAATTACCTCCGATATATCTAACGATATGAAAATAAACCAAAAAGGTCTAATTTTTAATGCTTCCTAGTTAAACACTATCCGGAAAGGAAACTTGACATAAAAACGAATTGTATCGAATTTGGACCACAAAGGTCAATTCGTGAGAAGTAAGTCTTAACATGATAAAAGCGTTTAATTTATCGCATTTTACGATCAGAGTATGTGCAGAATAACTAGGGGCCGCGTTGTAGCCGCCGACTCGTGTAAATCCGATCTTAATTTGAATATAATGGATCATGTTGATAAGTCTCTAATTTGTTACCTGCTCTTTTCAAATGATTTCAATCTGTTACGTGGTTGATGTTTAGTACCTCCGCTATTTCCTGACAGCTTCCGTGCCGGTCTTGGTTCACCAGTTGAAAAAATTTCACCGTTTTTTTCAGTGACCGCGTGGTGCATCTTTGACTTCGAAATTTGCGGAAAGGTATAGATCAAACCACTCCTGGGTCCTTCATTCACTCGCAGCATTCTCACCCTACACTTCACAATTGTTTTTTTTATGCAGCGTTTTGACCTTCTTTCTAGTAAACAAGCAACACATAGCATATTTCTTCAGATATTTCACTCATTTTCAAATCAATTTAACTTTTTACACGAGCGAAACCTTAGAAAATTATGTTCACAAAAAATATAAGGTGAAATGTCACCTTGAAAAACACATGTTCATTTGAGACAATCAGGTGAGTGTTGCCCGATGTATAGGCGTCAATGTTAGCCCGTGGAAAAAATCGCGGAGAATTTTCAATATGACTTAATATTACTCGGCAGAGTTTTCTCGTCGAGTTTGCTCGATATCGAAAAGTATTAATCGACCCAAAATCTTTGGCAAGAAAATTTGGACCACGTCAATTCACTTTTGAGTCCCGCTTCCACTTACCTGGAAAGGAAGTATAATTTATGTCATTTTAATAACTGAGGAAATGTAGTCTTATTTCTTTTTGAGAAATTAAAAAAAGGTTGATTCTGAACATTTTGTGCTATTCATTCTTAAAAAAAACCAGCTGGTTTTATAGAGTGTTTTTCTCAAATATAAGTGAGGAGTAAAACAAGAGAGTATGTTTTCAAGGGTTTGCTTTATATGTCACTTCAAAGCTTTAGCTAAATGCCTCGATTACGTAGAGATATTACTCGCATTGAAATGTTCCCCTAAGAATGCGGATATACTATATTTGCTCTTAGATTTGTGATACCTACAAATGTACATCAGCCTCTCGACTTCACGATCAGACTCTGGATTGATTTAGCCATGTACATTTACACAGTCTACGCTGCTAATGAAGATCAACTGCGAAAATAGGTTTAATTTGCAATAAGTAAAAGCAAGATGTACGTTTAATAGAAAAAATCCTCGTAGTTTTTGCCAGAGGTCTGCGAATATTGAGGGAAGCAGAGAAATAGTAGTGTGATCAATTGCCTGGCATTGCTGAGTTGGTATATGCTCAGTGTATATTTAAAATAAGTTAGAAAAAATTTCGATGACATAACAGGAAGTATGGATTAAGTTTATGGCTATAAAAAATTGAAAGAGATAAACTTTCATCGTTGTTCTGATATTAAATACGTTAAAGTTGTGTGTGAAATAAAATTTTCTCTTAAGGTAGAAATGCGGTAAACCGTAAAAATTTCTGGTGGATCTATCCTGACCGCTCAGGTATTTTTTTTAATCATTCCACAGTAACTGAAACGGAAAGCTTGTCTAGATAATTTTAGATAGAATTTTTTACTTAACGATTTTATTAAAGTAGTTATCTTTCACAAAGAGCTTTACAGCATTACATTAAACTGCGATGTTGTTATCGTTCTATATAATAAAGAGAGGCAAGAGGGATGTCAAGTTTAATATTTTGTAATACTTTTCCAATTAGCAGAAAATCTTAAAAGAATAAGTTAAAATTTTGACACAAAGTTCCCACATGGGGGTGTAGCTCAGTGGAAAGCGTTCGCTTTGCATGTGAAAGGCCCCGGGTTCAATCCCCGGCATCTCCATCGCGATGGAAGTCTGCTTCTATACGAATTTTATGGACTTTTTATATGTAAATCTGTATTTAATTAGTAAGAGCTTGAAGAAATATAGAAGATGATATTGACTGAAAGTGGTAGCATAGAGGAGGAATTTGTATAAAAAAACAAACTTTTTTCACTTTACTTCATTGAATGAATTGTTTCTTTGCTAACTTTGCTAACTAACTACGTTTTACATTTTATCTTGCTGTAATGTGACTCTATACTTTTCATAAATTGCAATTACGATTTACAAACCTTTAATCTTGGAATCGGCACTTTGATAACCGTTCTCGAATTTCATGGACTAATGACCAAAACAAATATATCAAATAGAGCCAACGATGACGCTGACTATTGATCTTTGAATATATTTCACCGCGTGGCTCATTGTCGAGAACAGAAATACTCCTACGAAATTTCGCGAACCAATTTAATTCTATCTTTTGCGTAAGAACACTGCAAACAAATACTCTATTAAAGTGTCGCACGATCTGCGATTTAAAAAATAAATGTAAGTAAGTTAACTACTTTTACATACCCGAATTAAGATAGTTATTTTTTATATGAATAGAACACAAACATATAAATGAAAAAAATTAATTCACTGAAGCTGGCAAAGTGGAAAAGTTTGATGCCTACAAATTCGTTACCAGTGTCAGTAGTCATCATCAATATTTTTTCAAATCTTTATTGATTAAATGTTAAATGTATATAAAAATACTTTGTGCAGAAGTAATTCCAAAAGGAATCATGATTGCGATGGAGATGCCGGGGATTGAACCCGGGGCCTTTCACATGCAAAGCGAACGCTCTACCACTGAGCTACACCCCCATGTGGGAACTTTGTGTCAAAATTTTAACTTATTTTTTTAAGGTTTTCTACTAACTGGAAAAGTACTACAAAATGTTAAACTTGACATCCCTCATGCCGCCCTTTCGATAACAAAATCGAAGTTTAATTTAATGCTGTAAAGCTCTTGTGAAACATAACTACTTCAATAAAATCTTCAAGTAAAAAATTCTATCTAAAATTATCCAGAAAAGTTTCCCGTTTCAATTACTGCCACGTATTAGTTCAGTTGTAGCTTTTAAACAACTTTTATTTTTGAAACTCGCAGCATGAACGTGTCTAATAGCAGAATAACGATGATAATTATATTTATTTATCTTTATCAATTTTTGATTATACATTGATCAGATTAGAATTACGATAGGATTTCAATACACGGTTTGTTTTACTTCATACAAACTCTTAACTTACTTTATACTTTTACATGTGTGTGCCACTCACGTATGAACTAATGCAGTAAACAATTTGCAATCTTCTTTAGAGTGGTGTAGGGTATGTAATAGTCGCTGCTGCCGAACTATAATGTTCTTCTTTTTAAAATAGTTTAACAGCAGTAGACCTTTTTCTAATATTCCGTATAATTTATATCATTTTCGTAAGAATTATGAAACATATGTAATTTTAACCAATAAATAATTGAAATCATCAATAGAATAATAATAAAATTTTACGGGTGTGAAGATAAATATGAACTTAACAAACAAAGACCCGTGTCATATCCCTCAACAAAGTTCTGAAAACGCCCTAAAAGAGCTGCGTTAACTATTTCGAATTAAGATGTAGTTGGATTCGGAAGTCTATTCCGTTCAGATGAGGAAACGTAATATATTTTTCTGCAGACCGCATGAATCTATGTGAAAATACTTTTGAATAAGCTGAACAAATTCAATTTCTGTTTATAGAAACTATATCTATATCACGTGAATCTATATAAAAATAATATAAATTTGCTAAGTATACAATTTTTAACAATTGTACCCCGTTACATATGAAATTAAAAAAGGATCACAACTCATTCTTCACCTTCTATTTTACATTCAGAAATTAAATTTTCCTGTTTCCGGTTGTTTGTTTTATCGTATTTTGCGCCATCTGCTGACAATATTTGCAATTAAATTTCATATTATTTTTTTATTTTATTTATTTTAGAGTTGGCAGCACTTGGTTTTCTTGTATATTTTTATTATTGGGAGTTGTTCGATTTTTAGCTTCTATATACATGTACATAAAAGAAATCCCGCCATTTTCACCATAAAAACAAAAACATTAACATATGTTTGTGTGAATGGTCTTTAGGAAGATTTAAACACTTTATTTAAATCATATAAAGATTATTATCTGGACGTATAAGTCGCAGTTTTCACGGGCTTGCTGTGTTTTAACTCAACATTCAAAAAAAAAAAAAAAAAAAGAATAAGTGAAATGTCGGATGGTGCTGAAGAGCTATTGCAAATAAGGCGATTTTTAAAAGAGCGCCTTCAACGTGACTACACTACATTTCGTGGCCATGACACGGAAAGGGAAAATATTAGACAATTATTGCAGCGTACTGCAGAGATGGCAGAATCAAATTCCTTGCTGTTAATTGGTCCCAGAGGTGTGGGAAAAACGACCGTATGTTAAAATTATTTTGTTGAAAAGTAACACTAACAATCCTGTTTCTTCTTAGCTTATCAATGCTGTGCTTACTGATCTGTTAAACAATCCCGACTTTATACAAAACACTTTAGTTGTTCATTTGAATGGTTACTTGCACACTGACGATAAGTTGGCTTTAAAATCAATAACAATACAGATGCAATTGGAGAATGCCTGCGATGGTAAAGTATTTGGCTCGTTCGCGGAAAACTTGGCTTTCCTTTTAGAATGCCTTAAGGCGGGCGACAAGCGTTCGAAGAGCGTGGTAGTCATATTAGAAGAATTTGATTTATTTTGTGCCCATCACAATCAAACCTTACTCTATAATTTATTTGATGTGTCTCAATCGGCTCAAGCACCAATATGCATTTTAGGTTTAACATGCCGTCTAGATGTCATCGAATTATTGGAAAAAAGAGTAAAATCACGATTTTCTCATCGTCAAATTTTCCTTTTCCCCAATGCTGATGACTTCTCGGAGTTTGTGAAATTATTTGAAACTTTGTTGAAAATTCCAAATGAGAGAGAATTGAAGAAACATGCTGAACGAGTGGCTTCTTTAAAACTATTGCAATCCAATCAGTTAACATTTCATCGGAATCATTATGATCCTGGAAAGTATAAATTTAACAAGCGCATCACTGACCGTTGGAATAAACACATTGATGCTTTGCTGCAGCAGAACAATGTTAGGCAAGCTTTGCAAAGTTTATTTGACTATGATGTTAGCGAAGCTGGTTTGAAAATTTTCATCTACCGTTTGGTTGCACAACTGCAAAACCATCCTGGAAGAACACAAGTTACATCGGAACAAATAACGCAACTGATTTCTAGTTATAATAACGACACTAAAGTAGAGATTTTATGCGGCCTTTCTATATTGGAGATGTGCCTAATTATTTCCATGAAACATCATTCAGAGATATATGATCGAGATCCTTTCAATTTTGAAATTATTTATGCACGATTTAATAAATTTGCTAAGGTTTCCACGGGCATGCAAAATATTGAGAGAGGAGTAGTACTTAAGGCGTTCGAGCATTTACGCAATTTGGAATTGATATTGCCTATAGCGAGTTGCGCCAGTAAAGTCCAAAAAGAGTTTGAAATGCATAAACTAGCTTTGACGTATGGACAAATCCATCAAGCCGTTCAACGCTACCAGGTTCTGCCCACAGAAGTGACACAATGGAGCCAAAGTTCGCTAATATAAAATTCAAATAAAATAAGTTATGAATTTATTTATAAATTAAAAGTCTGTTTATTTCGTTAAAAGTTTGTTTGAAGATGAATGGATTTAATTAAAAAGGTGCTATTGCAAAGTATCAAATCCTCGAAATAGTCGACAAAATGGAGAGCATTTTGTACTGCCGCAATTGTCGCAAGGAAACCAGCAGCCTGGGCAATCGGTGCCATTGCAATCGCAAGCATCTAGATCTAATGATCTATCCCATTCTAGCTCTTTTTTAGGTTTGCGGGGCCGGCCCCGGCCTCGTTTGCCATTCCTTTCCGGGTTTTGTTCATTCTCCATTTTTCTTTATTATTTTTTATAGTCGGATTAATGATTTAATTTGTAATAGAAATTATCTCCGCCTTCCTTGTGTGAAAATGTCTGTTTGTCTTCTTCCCAAAAAAAAAAGAAAAATGAAAGCGATTAGTTAACGGAATTGAAAGTCCCGTTAATTTCGACCTACCAGCCTGTTTACAAGTTTGTTGAAATAGATAAAGTTGCCAGAGTTATTCAACACGTTCTTCCAAATACGGTAAATTTCAACTTCTTCTTCTTATTCTTCAGCGAGTAAGCAAAGCAATGATATTCATAAATTTTGTAGATTTTATCTTCTTTTTCTTCTCGTTCTGTTATTTAGCAAATTAACTAAAGAAAATTCGCTGGGATGTTTAAAACATTGTAAATTGTATAGAAAATAGATAATAGACTTGAGAAATTGATTTCAAATGTAATAAGAAAGAAAATTATATGCGGCTATGTTCGAATCTTTTATACCCATCACCATCCTGTCCAAAAAAAAAAAGAAAAATAACTACTTCATAGTAATAGATGGGCGCGGTTGATTTTTTCTATTTTCAATATAAAAGTGGAATTTGTGTATGTGTTGCACTTTATGAGTAACAAGCAAAGAACACCAAAAGCCAAAGTGTTCAAAAATTTTCGAATCTAGATGCCTTCTTTGAAGAGTTTGGTTCATTTTCAAATTCCTTTGCAAGTTTGTAGGCGATAACGTAATTTTTGCTGGGATACTACACAGTAGATGCATTCCGATATTAAAAGTGACCCAGAATTTGTATACTTTACGAGGTTTTTGAAGCTTGCTTCTGTACATTATAAAGAATTTTGAAAAAAAATGAATTTAAGGCACAATATAAAATTGAGTAGACGTGACCGATTTCTCCAATGTTTTTTTTTTTGTATAGTTGGTAGAGCAAAACCCATAGCGTATATGATTCAATTTTTGTAGATTTTTTTGTTGTAGTTTATGAGTAATGAGCAAAAAAAAAACAAATATGTACTCACTTTAAGTTATAGTTCACCCGATTTGACCCATCTTCAAGGACAACCTACGTGCAAAAACTGCCAAATTTGAAGTCGATGGGTTTCTTTTTTGCAGCCAGGAGAATATTTACAAAAGACATTACACAGATTAATATACGGACAGATGCACATGCTTAAATCAATTTCGAATTTGATGCTATTCAAGAATATGTATGCGTTGTGTTGGCTCTAAAGTTTCTTTGCGGTCGTTGCGAACTTTTTGACAAAATGAAAAAAGGTTAACTTACGAACATAGAGATATATAATATTTGGATTTCGATTTTTTTATATTCGAAAAAGTTGAAATTTTGTCGTATTTAATGCATGCATATGATCATTTAAACAGTTTACTCTTGGGATGGACATATGTAAAAATATGCGAAAATCGAACGGCAGGTGTATAAAAATTGAATAAAACTATCAAAACTATCATTGCCAAGCAATTGGTGCTTTAGCAAAAACAATTCGACAATTTGTCCTGTAATGTTAAGTTGAACATGCATGCGTATTCAACTTGAAAGTCATAATGTTGTTATTATTTTTAATTTGGCCAAAAATATATAAAGTCTAAGACTAAACTCTTGAACTCTGAAAGCCCTAGCATCTGATAAATTTAATTTCTTTGCATTCATTTCATTAAAGGTTTACGTAAAAAAAAAGTAAGAACATTATAGTCGGGCAAGGCCGCCCTTTAAATACCTTACACCACATTATCTAACACAATTCTTATTTTAATTCTAGAACACAAAATTTATGTCTTGCGAAGTGCAACCTCATATAGTACCAGTTTAGTCCTTGCATAGGGCAGGATGTAAAAATAGTTGCAGATGGTCCAAATTTTACGACGTCCCTTTTTATATGAATTTACTATTAAGGGTCAATTTTCATCACCACTTATTTGAAACGGAGACTTTCCCTTCATATAAAGAATCAATTTTCGTGAAAATTCTTATTGGGGTAGAAAAAGATAGGCCGAGAGTGTCCGAGAGGTAATTTTTTTATGTTAAATTACTATTGTGATATAATTTTCATCATGAAGCATTGAAAATTCCACCTTTTTATCGTATGAACTGCAGTTTTCGTTATATGAGAGGGAGTTCAAAAATTACCCCAGGCGGATCAAGGTTTGCATACCAATTCAGAATGCCTAAATGCTTTTACTTAGCCAATTTTGCTGAGAAATTTTTTTCCCTATAGCGACTTTTCAGAATAGGTCATTATATGGGAAATGGTCGAAAAAGTGGACCAATGCGAATCATTTTCAATAGCGTTCGTCTTTCATCGAAATTTCTCAAAAATTGTGATCTGTAGCTTGATGTCTAACGTTCAACAAAGATAAAACAAGACAAGGAAATTATATGACCAGTATCGCCAGCAAGCCAAAATGAGTCCCTAGAACGGAAACAAGGTGGATTTCTCAGTCTCTTATAAGGCAGATGATCTGGAGAAAATTGACACAACTAACAAACTTGGCATTAGTAAGGAGCAAACACAATAAATGTGAGTGTAGAATGCATGGGTGGATGTAATTACTTTTGCAAATCTGTGTTGCTTTTTAGACATATTACCTCATAAACTGAATGTTGTTTGTGTAGAAACTCTTTTCTCCTTATGCCTTTGCTTTAAAAGGCCCGAAGTCTTACATGCAAGGCTTAAAGAAGACAGCAAAAGAGCAAAAAAGTTGCAATATATTGTAGGCTAGAGGCGCGGGACCAAGGGAAAAAGCAAAAAGAGTTGGGAAAAGTTATCCCTCACCAAAAATTTCGATTTGAAGAAATTGTAGAATATTGAAAACACTACAAAGTAAATGATAACTATGTGCAAAGAAGATGAAAAAGTTTCCAATAGTTGTGGAAGAATCTACTTTCAAAAGAAAACAAGCGTTATCCGAATATTACAAGGCACACAAACCACTTTCCCTTTAGCACTCATCTCACCAAATTGCATGAAGACGAATGATGTGAATTCCACTACTAATTAAGAGAGAGATGAATGCCGGAGAGAAAGATATTTATGTACCTTATGGTACCTGGAATAACGCTTGTTCTCGTTGGCTTCTTTATTCTGGCAAGTAAGTGGCACCATGTCGCCAGTGAGATTATTCTTATGCGCTATCTACTTTAACTTGATTCTGAGGTTAGGAAAACTTCATTTAGGTGTTTAGATGCAATTAACTTGATAATGTAATCGATAATGTAAATGAAGTCTCTTTACCTTTGCATTTCGCTTAAGCATACGGGTTCATACTTTATTTAGAAAGAATTTAAAATAAGGGCATAGCACTGTCTAATAAGAAATTGCTATAAAAACCATTGCTGGCTTAAGTAAATGTTTTCATTTGTTTTGTTAATCCTCATTGAAATGTTTTTTGCTTTCATATACTGTCTATTAAGTCTTTACTGCGTGAGTAAGGCGGATGAAAGCCCGGGTTTTTTTTTAAAAATTCCAAAAAATATACCACGTTTAGGACGACGTTCGGCTGTAGGCAGTAAACAAGTAAGTTTTCACTTTTCAAATCCGTATATAAAATCAATATTTTAAATATTAATATTCGTCTTAGGAAAACTCTGTTAGTACCTTAAACGATTGGTTTATATCGTCGGCATCGAGAAAACGTGCTCTTTTTAATGCGCCCCTTTTAATGCCTGAACGTGAACTGGCTGTAGTTCAGCCGGTTAATTCGAATACGTTATTGGAATTATTGGAAAAGGATGCCATTGCCAATGAAAATATAAAATTTGTTCATTGGAAAGATTTTGATTTAGCTTTGCAATTGGACGGCGATCTTTATGATAAAGTGAGCTCCTTGGGTCGTAGACCGGATCAAAGTCTTAAACAGGATTTAACTTTAGGCGGCTATGTCCCAATAATAAGCAGTAATGCTTTAGATAATAGTAATCGAGATTATCGTTTCTACGGTTCCGGCTTAGAACCTTACCAAGCGCGTTACAAAATCGATCTGCTCGGCCTAAATGACATTTAATATTGAAACTATTTTTTTTTTTTTTTTTGCTTTTACTTGGTTTTACTGTTCAGGGATCCATAAAGTAAAAATAAATATATATTAAAATTTCTACCTTTGCAAAATTTATAACAAATTTAGTTTTTTTACAATATTTATAACCTACACCAGTTATGGTAGAGGATATATTACGTTAGTGCGGCCGTATGTAACATGGGGAAGGGCTTAAGATAGAATCTCCACCTTTTATCATATCGATCGATTCAGAATCATAATCTGAATTGACACAAGCCTGTAAGTCCGTCTGTCCGTCTGATGTCTGTCTATACAAATTTATGTTCATTGTGTGTATAGGCCGCAAATTTTTGAGATATTTCGATGACATTTTGACTCAAGAACGAAAGCTGTTGCAAATGGTTCGGATCGGTCCACTTCGATCACTTCCCATATAACGCTTTATTCTGAAAAGTCTTTATGGGGGAAAAATAGCAATTTTCCAAATTTCTCGACAAAAGTGGGTAAGTAGTAGTTTTTCGGTATTCTAAATTGATGTAAAGACTTTGGACCGCCTGGCGCTCTCACCATGAAAACTGAAGTTAATACGTCAAAAAGGTATAATTTTCAACGCTTCATAATGAAAATTATATCACAATAGTAATTCAACATAAAAAAATTAATTGTAGACCGCTCGGCCTATTTTTTGGATTCTATATTAATAAGGATTTTCTCGAAAATTGATCTGCTTTAGAGCAGAAAATATGTGGTGATCAAAGTGGACCCATAATACTAATTTCATACAAAAATGAACTCCACAAAATTTGGACCATCTACTCCTATTTTCCGATCCTGACTCATATAAGGAGTAAACTGGTACTATGTTAGGTTGCACTTGCGGCAGCATCTCCATAAGTAGGTATGAAAAATACGCCTTTATATAAAGACAAGCCGTTATTTTTGTGTTCGATGATAAAAATAAAATTTCCTTTATAACATCTTCAAACATTTATCAATGAATTCTTTGACAACTATGAAATCGCTTCATAATCGTATATAAGTAAAAGTTTTTTTTTATAAATGAAATCTTTTGAAGCAGTGTGTGACGTTCGTAATACGTTTAAGCTGCTAGTGGAAGGTGTTGCTAAGAGAACATATATTATATGTAACGAAGAACTGTTTGCCTTCGATTAGTTTATGACTAGTATTTCTTTTATTCTTTTTTTCCCATTTTCTTTTTTTTTTTCGTTTTCTTTTCAACATTTTCAAAATAACTAAAATAAAACCATATATAATTGAGGTTATCGGGGGGGGTGTAGAGAAAACAAATCGTTAAAATTATTCACTCCTCATAGAGTTTAAATGCGGTAGGTCAACAGGATTACGATATTAACAATGTTCTTCAATAAGTTTTTATGTTATCTCGAAAGATTTTTCTATTTTTTTTCTCTTCTTTCGTTTTTTTAAAATTTATAACTTTTCAATTTACACCTATTGTCTGATTGTCTTGTGGTTTATTTTATTATTTTTGACCTTTTCTTTTTTTTGTTTTTTTTCTTTTTATGAACTGTTGACATATAATCTATGGAGTGCTAGATCTTTGTAGGAGTGCATGAACAAATTCGTTTTGATGATTTATGTTCGAAAATATTGAAAGTAATTCATTTCGTATTATCGCACCCTCAACCTCAGCTGTTGTTAGGCTTACGTTTATTACTTGTTGATCGTTTGCCTGCCCTTTCTAAATTAAATCATAGAAAAACTTGTATTCTTTCAAAAAATTTTAATTGTGTTTTTATCGCATGCCTGCTTGAACAAATTAATTGACAATTTTCTCAATTTTATTCTTATTGTTCTTGTTGCTGTTCTTCTTGTTGTTGCTATTTACGCAAAATGCAATAAAAATTTCTATATGCAATTTATAGAAATTGCCTACAATTTGTCGCCAGCTAATTAAGCGACTACTTTAACAATTGCCTTTTTTTTTTTTTTTTTTTTTTGATGATGAAACAAATTAAGGGCATCATTATTATTGTAGTTCATTCGATGAAAATTGACATGCAAATCATTATACTCTTGAATGAAATTCGTTCATTTGTTTATGCATTCGTCTAGCTGACTAACTGAATCGTTAACCCGTAACACAATGTACGGTACGGTAAAAGAACAGAATGAAAGGCATGAGTTTAATATATATCCGACTCGATCTTCAAGACATTCTTGGGAACGCCAAAGTTATTCTAGGCACATGCACTTAGCTCTCAAAACGAATAGCGTTGCTTACAGTGAGAGATGAAATATTTTTTCTTGACTTTTTATCCTTTGATGCGTATATGATATATGCACTATAAGCCATTCATATATTTATTATGTTTACCAGTATTCTAATGAATGTCATCGCCGGTACATCTTTGCCAGCTCACGTTTGTGCCGACACTTTAAGAATGTTTATCATAGTTCCCACACGAAGTGAAAGGTATATTTCCAAAGTGACGGAAAAAGTCGTGCTCATGCAAAGTTTTTTTATACCCTGCGCGAATTGTGTTATAAGGTATATCAAGTTAGTGCGAACGTATGCAATATCCTTTTATTATACTGATCGATTCAGAATTTTGAGATATTTTGAGGAAATTTATTACACGAACGTGTTTTGGCCCCAGAACGAGGGCTGTTGAAAATGGCTCGTATCGGTCCACTTTTCTGATTACTCCCCATACATCGCTCTATTCTGAAATGTCGTTATGTGGATAACGTTTTCAAAATTTCACGCAAAACGTGGCTGAATAGTAGTGTTTCGACATTCTAAATTGGAATGAAAACGTTGAGAATGGCTGGGGCAATTTTTTGAATCCACTTTCATATAACCGTTCCTACGGAAACTGAAGCTTTATATGGTAAAAAGGCAGAATTTCATGGTGAAAATAGGCTCATAATAGTAAATTGCATAAATAGTAAAGAAATGTACCATACCGGATTTGGGCCATGTAGGTCTATTGTTTGGATACCATCGCATATAAGGACTCTCATGACGCGTAAAGTCTTATAAGCCAAAAAGCCTATTTGTTAGCTGTTTGGGAATGAAAACTTGTTCACGATAGTAATTAAATCAAAAAATTAATTGAAACTAATTTCGACCATATAGGTCTATTTCTTATCCCCACACCATATAAGGTATTTCATGAGGAGTAAGCTCTTTGAAAAAAGGCTTAATTTTTAATATTTTCTGATGAAAATTAATTCGTAGTAGGGTTTTAGTCAAAAAATCACCGATAGGGAATTTGAATCACATAGGTCTATTTTCTTGTAACCCAACATAGGCGCTATAACAAAAGGGAAACTTTTATATGGTGAGAAAAGCCAAACTTCCTATATGCGGCTTTTCATAAAAATTATGGCTAAGCATGAAAATAATGAGAACTGTTTAGTTCATTATTACCAAAACGGGCGAATATTAGATGAAGTAGAGTAGGGTATATATAGGTCAGCCTCGCCTGACTATAAAGTACTTACTCGTTTTTAATGTAAAGATGGTGCGTAGGAAAGATTCGCTCTCAGGCAAGTTTAATTTTCTTACTTGCTTTACCTTATATCACTTATCCGACCTTATGAAACAGAAGGGCTTATGTAATATATAAATCGGTTCAGCAAAAGTTTTCTGAATCGATTTAATTGTGTCTATCAGCCCGTCCTTCTGAGCTCTGTCATTTGTATTTTGCGTCTCCAGTCTCCAATTTTTGAGGCATTTCGGTGAAAGTTTTGTTATTTATTAACACAACAATAAATGACGAATCGCATTAAGTTAAGCGTTGTAGAGAATCTAATGGTTAGCTTTAATCGGTTTGCTATAATGTTTTCCATTATTTTTAATATGTTGCTTGGCATACTGTTCTCAGTTTAGAAAGGTTTTCTGGGCAGAATCTCCTGAACACGAAATTAATGCTAAACTAAATTTCATTAAAGTCTAAAAAGCAAAAAAAAAAAACTAAGAAAATTATGGTCGGTGGTGACCGAATCTTTTATATACCCATCACCGTTATCCTGAAAAAGACAAAAGAAGTAAAAAAAGTAAATTTTCATCCCCTATCATATGCAATGGTCACGGCTGATGTTTTCTATTTTCAAAATAAAAGTTTTTGTCGCATAGGCGTGCTGACGATGTAGGCGTGTCCTTGGAAATGTTGAAATCACTTCTAAATTCCTTTCGCTAATGAGAGAACTTTTACCAAAAAGACTACATAGGCAGATGGACAGACGGACATGTTTAGGTGCATTCGAAATTTGAAACTGGTTAAGACATTGTACACTTTATGGGGTTTTTGAAGTTTGTTTCTGCGTCTTACAAAGGTATTGAAAGGAAAATTAAATTTTGACACACCATAATATTGGGTAGGCGTGGTCAAGTATTTGCATCGTCTATAGAATACGCGATTAAAATTATTGCACATATATCTACCTTAGTTTATGAATAATGAGCAAAAAACCAATTTTTTATTCTTCCCGAAAAACATAAGCTGTTCTAAATGTAAGTGGTGTTGTGGGTGCATCCATCGCCCGATTGGATCCATTTTTAATACGAATCTGCGTGAAAGAACTTGCAATATTTCTGAAAAATTTGAAGTCGACGGCTCCATTTTTGTCGCCAGGAGAACAGGCATTATACAGACGGACAGACGGACATGCTTAAATCGATTTAGAATTTAATGCTGATCAGGAATATATATACTTTGTGACGTCTCTGATGCTGCCTTCTGGCCGTTGCAAACGTTTTGACAAAATGCATGTCCCCCTTATCCTTCGGTATATATGGTGGCGGGTATAAAAATAAAAACAATTCGAAGAATTAAAAAAAGGAAAGAAACTGTAATAAGACTAACTAATCATAATCAGGCAAACGGTGCTTTAGTGCCTTGTTTTAAACCGTGCAACCCGACTTCCCTTCCTTGAGATGGATTTATAGATCCAAAGTTGTAGTCCAAATAAAAAGTTGATCGACTGTGAAGCGGAAAACGTTAATCAAAAACTTTGTTTTTTTTTTTCAAACAAATATTTTCTTACTGAGATTCTATTCCCTATGCGACATTAAAAGTAATAATAATATCGATATTGTGTGACAGCAAAAATGAATTCTCTTCTTTCTTTGACCAATGTTGGTTCAGACGACAGCCATAATAATAATAGAGAGCACTTTGCCGACAGTATATGTGTATATTTATAGATATGCGTGTACAAATTGAACAAAAAGAAGAAGCACTAGTTTTACATAAAAATGAATGAATTCTTCAAGAGAAGAAAAAAAGTAAAGATGTATGCGTGTTTTGCGTTAATTATAACTATACGCAGGCAGGCAAGCAGGCAGGCATACGCATACACGCTTATGAAATGCTTTTTTTTTAGCATACACTTTAGAGAGTTTTCTTAAAATGAAAACAAAAGCGGTACTGTCAGTCAGCTTCTATTAACGGATGTGCATGCGACGCCATTTCATTGTAAACTTTATTATTATACATAGATATATGTGTGTAAGTGTTATGCATTTGATTGTGTTCGTTCTACTGACGGATAGATAGATAGATAGATAGATAGATAGACTGTTTGTGGTGTAATGAGAGTTAAGACCGACGAGATGTTGAACCGATGCAATAAACCAAACCATAATTTGATTTTCCTTCCTTTCATTTCTTTCTCTGCCTGCGCGATAGAAGAGTGAAATTTGGTTTGTAAAACCTGATCAAAACACGCACAATAGATAATATTATCGTCTTTCTTATCTTGTCCGTAACAATTTCTTTTCCATATCGACCTTAATTGCAATTAAAGATATCAGTCATTGTTGTTGTTTATGGTTCATGGTATGAATGTTTGTTTCATTAATATGTGGAAATTATATTACATACAACAATACAACACGCTATCCATATCGGTCGTGTGTTTGTTTATATCTAATTTAATTTCAACATATTCTCATTCATTTTATTTCTCCCATTTTATCTTCTTCTTTTTTACTACAATTACATAGCATGCATATATACATACATATATATATATATATATATATTTTTGTAAATTATAAAAAATATATTTTTTTCATTTGCTGCGTCGTTGCTATCAACATATTTGTAAAGAAATTTTTGGAATTTTGACAAAGGCTCACATCTATCCCGGTTATGTAATTTTTTCCTTTAAATTCTTGCAATGCTTTTCTTAATTATAAATTCTTCTCCCGCTTATCTTTATCGCTCAGCTTATCACTCGTTCGGGCAATATGTTGCATCACGTTTTCCATAAGCGTATTCAAATCCCGTATAATTCGGCCAACTTGCAAGAAATCATTCATTTTAAGATCTTTTATATATATATATATTTCTATCTGCTCTCGCCTCTTGGTATTAGAAAAAAATTTTGATTTTTTTCTTTTTCTCTTTTATTAAAAACTTTCGAAGAAAAAAAGATTTTTATGAAAGATATACGAATGCAAGATATAAGAAGAAGGCGGGCTTACAAAAAGGTTGCCAAGCATCGAGTAACTGTATTCGAATTGTCAGCGCGCTTTAGTAAGCTTATATGATTTTTATCTATTTATGTAAGAAGAAAACGCAAATAGTGTCAAATGTAAAGCTTCGTCCTTATGTTTACTTGGACTTGCCTTTACCTCATATCGAGATATATGCACTTGGGATTTTATAGAAAAACGTATCGTTTGTATGAACATGATTCAGACCATTCTCGACGACAGAGTATAAATCCTACTGCAATGTGCTGACTAATACTGTAATTTGTAGTTGCTATCTGCAGGCTATACGTGACTAAAGCGTATACAACATAACTTGTTGTAGATGTGGTTGATGTTGGCTACAAAAAGCGGGGAATTTTAGCTTAGGATAGTGCTGCAGGAGACATTTTACTATACACAAAGGTGAAATAATTATGAACATAGAGTATGCGAACCAATAACATCGATGACATAGCTGAATATCCATGGTGTCAGTCGAGCGTGGTGTATTAAGGTTTGTTCCACTCAACTGTAACCCCTGCTAAGGAAAGCTACTAACGACAGCTGATGCAATAGGGCGCATAGTAGTAGCAATATGCCTAATGTCATGGTATCATAGGTTGCAGTGGGAGGAAATTTGCGGATTTCAGAATTGTTTGTTTAAACGGTGCTTGCCTTTTTAAAACAGTGCCCTAGTATCGGTGCTTTTGTGAATAGCGTCACAAGATTAGTTGCTTATTGCTAGAGAATACATTGAGCAAAGTGACTGCTAACAATTTTCTATAAAGTAAAACTCTTTCAATTTTATTAAAATATCGGAGGATACACTGATCACTTAAACACCTTGAGTCGATTTAGCTCTGCCCGTTTCCTTCCTCGCCTATCGCTTGCTTTTCCCAGCTACTACGTCTGTATCAGATGCTGATTGGTATGCAGTTGAGATAATAACTAGCAATCTGTGCGACTGAAAGTATAGTCTATCGCGCACCTAGAAAATGTGAGTTGCCAGCCGCACTTCATAATAATAGTGTAGGTTGTTGCCCATATTTGCAGAAAGTAAAGAAAATGTTTTATAACTTTCCGACGAAAGATGAACTGGACATGTTACCTCTAGCATAAAAAAAAATGCATTAGGGACCGTTTATCCAACTGTTGATCTATGTGTTTTGTTGCTATCTGTCTGCCGCCTCTTGTTGAAAAGCTTACGCTCGTGAAATTGTAAATTTAAAGAGAAAATTTGATATATTTACGCTTAGTTCGTGGTCAACTAAGAAATAAAATTGAAAATGCGCACGATTCGTAGACACTTACGTCAAATTTGGCAAACAAGATTTATGTGGTGAACGAATGCACATGATCTGCCTTAAAATAGGCTAAAATAATACGCATGCACAGATATATATTTTACACCTTCCTTATAAATTCGTGACAAAAAAAAAACCTTGGACCGGCTGAGGCAATCCGTCTTATGTAATGAAAACTGACATTTATACGAGAAGAAGGTATAATTTTCAATGCTTCGCGATGGAAACTATATCATAATCAAAATTTAATGTAAAAAAAATTAAATGCACCAAGTTTGGACCACCTTGGCCTATTTTTTGGATCCCCATACCCCAATAAGGATTTTCACGACAATTGATCCGTTGTAGAGCGGGAAAGGCTGCGTTTCATAACCGTGCTGAATAAGATTGACGGTCGGTCTTGTCCAACTATGATGTCCTTATTTACTAATAAGTAGATGTATAGAGTGTTAGTTAGTGTATTCTTCAACAGCATGTTTACTTTATTATTATTGTTTGTTTTTTCACAGATTCGTTTGATTCTTCGAAAATTTCGTAAATTGAGCCTAAACGTTTAATGAAATTATGTCAAACCTTAATCCGTAACTATTTGTGGCTAATATAGAGCATTTTCGAATGGAACGTGACCGTGAGCCCTAACTCCCTAACTGCCCGATGTCCAAAAGGAGACCGAGTGAGAAAATGTCACTCGACGCTTCGGACTAATTAGCTGCTTCGTGGAGACATGTATTTCACTCCCCCTGTTGGGGGTGAGCGAAGCCTATGCAAAATTCTTGCTGTTCTACTGTTCTGCTTCTTCACATCTAAGAATTTAAGAAGATTTGGGTAAAAATTTTACTTTTTAGATTTTATCCATTCCTTTAAATCATAAGCGGCTTTAATCATTAAAAAAAGTCTTTTTTTTTAATTTTGTATAATTAATTCGCTGATATCCGACTGCTGTAAAAATAAATTGGAAATTGTTGGCTGGTTTTCTTACTATTATTATTATAATTATTATTAAGTAAATAAATTCCAAAACTAAGCTCTTAAAGCACTAGCAATGTAAAGCTACCGGCTTTCATTAAAAACCCTACCGCACTTGAGATTCGAACCGGCGACCATTGAGTTGCTAGTCGAGATTCCTCGCCTTCGGCTACTCGGGCGGATAGATTTTATTAATGTAAAATTAACTACTTTTTCATGTAAATTGTTTCTTTTTTTAATATAAAATAAATAGGAAACGAAATATATTAACATTTGCATTAATTAAATATATTTCTTTTCCAATAAAAATATGTAAAAAGTCTTCAGTTCACTTGCGCATTAGGATGGCCTTCACTTTATGGTAAAGTTAATATAGAAGCTTTGCGCCGACTATCGACATCGCTTGTGATAGTGCCGGTGTTGCGAGTGGATGTGAAATTGCTCTCGGTACTAGACGATCGAGTACAAGAAGAAACTGTCTTCGGTATAGTGTAAACACAATCAAGTTTTCAAAAATTGTTCTTATGGCTTTTCAAAGCCGTGCAATGACGCGAATCTATCCTAATAGATTTACTGCTAGGACTTATAATGTTGGAATTGACTGCAGTTGCTTCTGGCACATCATGCCTTTCTAAAATTTCATTTTGCGATTTCATATCGTCCGCGGAAAAATCATAATTATTCAGATTTGATTTCCAAACAAGTAAGTGCTTATCAGAACCAGCGCAGGCAAAATTTGAACCGTCATAGTTAAAGTCAACAGACATCACCCTGCCAATGTGACACGATAAGGTGTAAATTGGTCTCCCTTCCATTATATCCAATATCTTCATGGTTTCATCATCACTTCCGGTAAGCATAAAATTTCCATTGGGATGAAAGGCTAAATCATTAACGGTCGCATTGTGCACCTTATAGAGTTGTATTAATTCTTGAGATGATAAATCAAACATTTTAACCCGATTGCAACTTAATGCCACAGCCACGATATTACGATAGGGATGCCAAGTTAATTGCCTTCCCATGCCAAGGTCCTCAGTAAAACTGCATATACATGACCGCGTGTTTACATCAAATATCCGCAAAGACTTGTCATCTCCGCAAGTGGCCACATATTTGCCATTAGGACTGAATTTAGCGGATCGCACCCAATTCCTATGACCGATAAAAGAAGTAAGAAATTTTCTTTCAGGTATTCGCCAAAGTTTTACAGATTTATCATCGGAACCTGTTACGACCATAGTACCGGCAGGATGGAAATCTACTGAACGTATAGGTTTACCGTGAGCGATAAATTCTTCGATAGCGCCATGTGGTTTAGGTTCCCAAATCTTGATACTACTATTATGAGCACAAGAGGCCAACAAATTTGATTTCGGCGACCAGCAAATACCATGAACCCTTTCCTCGTGAGCCGAATGACTTATACAGCGGGCAGTGTCTTTTAAGTTCCACACAATAACCGTAGTATCTAAGGAGCTGCTAGCAATTTT